TTTCATATACATACTTTTTTCGTTTCTTCTTCATATATTCAATAAAAATTAAAATTTAATATTAATTGTTAAAATAAAAATTAAAATTAAAATTTACATTTTATATCTAACAAATAACAACAAAAGCCTTAAATAAAATTAGAATTTTTTAAATATAAAATTAATGTTCAAATAAAAAATATAAATAATATGTCAAAATTAAATTGTAAACAATTTAATTATTGATACAAATATAAATAATACAATATAAATAACAAGTCATTAATATATTATTTTTATATTTTAAGTTTTAATTATTAAAATTGAATTATTAATTATTGAATTTTAATCGATTTAAACGACAAATTTATATATCGATCTTAAATATGGCGTAGACACATTTCTAAATTACAATAATTGGTAAGTCAAAGAAAAAATGTTAACAGTACTCGGTTGTGCAAGGAATTTTGTCATCATCGTAATTGCAGCAGTACACGTTATTGCAAGAATGCCCAAAGTGGTCGACCTTGCCAATTTTTTTCTTTCGCATAATTTTAATGCAGATGATCACCACGGGGAGGTTCAATTCGATTTCAGTATTCGAACAACTTTCGCACGATAAACACGATTACTCCGACACATTTCGTTCATTAACGTAGCGTTTAATTAAAGTGTAAACTCGCGCCCTTGAAAAAGTTGAAGCAAAGCGATGTAACATGTGCATCGTAAACGTGAGAAACATTTCTCACTCGTTAAATCAGAAGAACAATGCGCAGCTGCAATTCAAGATGTAATAAAAAATATGTATCCAAGATTTGCGTAATGAGGTAATCGCGAAAGAGACAATCGACGTTTATGTATACGTGGAATGAATAAGGAAAACACGTAAAGATTCTGCGAACATGTTACGACTGCCCGAGTGCTTCCGGGAATTACGTCTCGGTAAGAGTGAAATGATAATTAAGTTAAATTACCGACGATAAGTACGCACAATCGATTTGGAAAACCGTTATGAGAGTTCATCCGAACCGTTTCCCAATGTCGATACATGAAGTCCGTGGAATGCGGGAGAGACACTTTAACTGTATTATGTCAAGATTTTAAATCGCTGATTGGGATTCGCTTCATGTAATCTCATTGCATATGACTTGCGCTTACCATGACTGTAAGATCTATCATGACTGTAAAAAAGCTGACGCGGTCGACCCTGATGTTATTCAGATCGGCGGCTTTTTCCGATGCAACGCTGAAAGACACTGCAGTTGATCTCCGACGTCGCATTACGAAGATATTGCAATTGAGTGTCACTTGGTGCATTACAAACAGTTAATTTCTATTTCTATTGTGCTAATTAACATCCGTGACCGCAAAGATTTGCAATTAAAGAGACAAATAAATTGTGTTTGAGATTCAGTGCAGAATTATCGTACATCAAAGTCGTATTAATAATTGCAGTTACGGAAACTCCTATGAATGAATTAAAAGGATTGTTTTACGTCACCTTACGAGTATGCAATTTATAGTGAGTTGACGACATTGCGAAATTTCACAATTAGACATCTCGAAAAATCGCCAATTGCGTATTTAAAAATCTTCAATTTTAAGATCACTTAAGAAATGTAAACTCTTACTTCGATTCGATTACTTAATGTCAAGGTCCCAGCTTTCTAAAGAGAAAGATTTAAGCTATTTATGCAAGTGATTCGTAGGAGCACAAATAACTTATTAAAGAACTAGGATACCAATAATACCGAATTAATAAAAAAAAAAAAAAATTTGACAAAGAATTATTTTCCGTATAACATAAAATCAACTTCACGATGCTCGAGTCCTATTTGATAATCCTGTTCCTGGGAAACGCCGCTGGTATCCTGTCGCCGGCCATTCTCGAGACGATACAGCACTTCCTCGCGGGACTTCCCTCGTCCGATTTGGCGCAGGGCAAGGACGTGCTGTCCGGACAATATCACCTGTCTTTCGACTTCCTCGTGGTCGGCGTCGGCTCGGCGGGATCCGTGCTCGCGAATCGCCTGACCGAGAATCCCGAGTGGAGGGTCCTGCTGCTCGAGCGAGGCAAGGACGAGACCTTCGTGACGGACATCCCCTTGCTCGCGCCGGTTCTCCATATCACGGATTACGTTCGCGTGTACAAGGGTGAGCCACGGCCGCGGGATGCTCCCGGTGGAGGATACTGCCTGTCGATGATCGACGGCCGTTGCAACGTGATAACTGGTAGGGCGGTCGGCGGCACCTCGGTGGTGAACTTCATGATCTACTCGAGGGGCACGTCGTACGATTACGACGGCTGGGAAGCGCTTGGAAATCCCGGCTGGAGCTACGAGAGCGTGCTACCTTATTTCATCAGGTCCGAAAGGTGCAGGCTGATCGATAAGGACGTGAGGTGCGTGGTAAGGTCGCGAGATAAGTCGCGTGAGGAGTCACGGGTTAATCCCGCTCCTCATCGCGAATCTTCTCGATTTTCGCGTTAATTCATGTACCTTCGAGTTATACGAGATAATTTAACGGCGATACCATGTCCATGCTCTTCCTCATACTTCGTCGTTGCATCTCTGTCTTGCATGTTCTCTCCTTCAGATATCACGGATATGACGGGGAGCTGGACGTCACGACTCCTCCTTACGCCACTCCTCTGAGGGATCGTTTCTTGAAGGCTGGCCAAGAGCTCGGCTACGATCTGATCGATTACAACAGCGACAAGTACATTGGTTTCTCGACCGTTCAAGCGAATCTGCGATACGGTCACAGAGTCAGCGCTAGCAAAGCTTTCCTCAGGCCAATTCGCGACAGAACGAATTTGTATCTATCCAAGCTCTCGACAGTGACGAAAATCGTTATTAATCCACAGACGAAATCAGCCACGGGTGTTCAATTCGTGAAGGATCATAAGATGTACTTTGCTTCTGCTACTAAGGAAGTTATACTTTGCGCAGGTAAACGAAAATCGTTATAAAGTGTAATTTTAAATTTTCTACATAAATTCTACATAATTCTACATAATTTATTTTAGAACCGATGAATCTGATATTTTATAAAAAAAAATTAATTTCTCTGAAAATAGATATAGTAGATTGCGTACAGGAACACCTTTACTTTATAAGATAAAACACAATATTTCAGAAAAATGAAAAATTTTTTTATAAATAAAAAGCTTTAGTTCAATTCATTATTTAAAGTTATAAATAATTTAAAATTATAAATTTTTTTAATTAAAATTTTTACTTAATACTTTCAATTAGGTACTTTCAATTCTCCACAATTATTGATGCTTTCCGGGATAGGCCCAAAGGATCATTTGAGTTCCTTGGGCATCCCCGTGATCGAGGACCTTCCAGTAGGATTTAATTTACAGGATCACGTGAGCATGTCAGCTTTGACGTTTCTAGTCAACGAGAGTGTGAGCGTGGTCGAGCCGCGTGTAGGTTCCAATCCAGTTAATTTTCTAAAATATCTGAAAGAGGGAACTGGTCCTTTAACAATACCCGGGGGTGCCGAAGCGTTAGCCTTCATTAATGCCAATAGTTACATGAAAAAAACACAAGCAGAAAAATCAAAATATAACTACAATCAACATGTAAATATCTACAAAAACAAGCACGGTAAGCATTTTATCTTTGCAAAAAAATATCGAAATTTCTTGAATAAATCGAAAAAAATGATTTCTTTGTCATAGAAAAAAAATCCAAGATGTTAATTTATCCTTTGAATGCAAATTAATTGCTTTTAATGGTTTATAATAAAAAATAATAGCATTTTGTAACATAAATGTAAATAATATCTTAAATAATTATAACTTATTTCTTTTTCGATTACAATCTTTCAAGTTCAGTTGGCTTTGTCAAAAGTCGTTACATAAAAGTCGTTATATTATAAAACTTCTTGCAGTTTTTCCCAATGTAACTTCCATCACCGTCAATCGCGACTTCTTCAAAACATATCCTCACGTTAACACGAGCAAACTGACAGCGAAAGATCATTATCCTGATATCGAGTTGGTGTTAGGCGCAAGTTCGTTAGCCGGCGATATTTCCGGCAGCTATCGCGGCTTACTAGGATTAACGGAGGACTTTTATAAGGAGGTTTATAGCGGTTACGAGGGCCACGATTCCTTCATGATTGTACCTGTGCTCCTGCGACCTAAGAGTCGCGGTAGAATCACTTTGAGAAGCGCTAATCCGTGGGATCCGCCGATCGTGGACATCAATTATTACGATCACGAGGACGATCTGAATACAATGGTGCAAGCTATAAAGATCGTAAGAAGAGACTTTACATGTTAATATATTTATCTATATTTGTTTTATAATCTTTTTACCTACATTTCACATATTCTTTATATAAATAAATATAAATATAAATATAACATATAAATGAAGACAATTTTTTTATTTTTTTACTCTCCAATTTTTTTTAAATACGTTCTTCTTATCGCACGACTCGTCGCAGGCGATCGAAGTGGCTTCCACGAGGGCGTTTAAGCGTTTCAACACCACCCTGCTGCCGGTACCATTTCCGGGATGCAAGCACGTTGCTTTTAAGAGCGACGCATATTGGGCCTGCGTCGCCCGCCACGTGTCGACGAATTTAGGTCACTTTGCCGGCACGTGTAGGATGGGCACTCGGGACAATTCGGGAGTCGTGGATCACAGATTGCGGGTGCACGGGATCGGCGGTCTCAGGATCGTGGACGCCAGCGTGATGCCGACCATAGTCGTCGGTCACACGAACGCGCCGGTGTACATGATCGCCGAGAAGGCCAGCGACATGATCAAGAAGGACTGGAAAGGTTCCGCTTCGTGAAACGTGTGGGAAGCGGGAGGAAGTAGAGACGCGACGACGTGTGAAACGTAGGATGCGCGAAAGGGCGATGAATGCGGTGAGGAGGAGAATCTTTTCTGAAATCTCGAAGGCAGACATTAAAAAGGACATTGGCGCCTTTGCGCCATAAAAATAAGGGAGAAAAGTGTAATCGAATGTATAAAATAATAGAAGATTGTTTTGTAAAACAAACTGAATGTTATTGTGTAAGAATAGAACACATTTGCATGTAATTATTATACGAGGCTTCATATATGTGGAAGTCAAATGATATTTTGTTCACGTGTATCCTAGTCAATGATTGACTATAGTAAATATGTAATGTGTATAAAAAAAGATATTATATCATTATATATATCATATATTTAACATTAATTGATTTAATGGACTCTTTGCCTTTCTGGAGAAAAGCGATAATTCTCTTTGGCTACTTATAGTTGCTAATTAAATATACATACATTAGTCAAACATTTTAATTTAAATAACAATTTAAATAAATACGATAACAAATATAACGATACGCGTACATACATCTTACAATGACATAAGTTAATAACCTACAGTAGTTTTATTTTTAAATATTTTAAATTAAATAAATCGATGAATTTTTTTGCTGAATACCAATTATATATCCACTATTTTCAATACACAAGGAATTTTGCAATGATAATAATGGAAAATATTCCATGTACTTGCCATCTCGTTGCACCTGTAAGAAATTTTAAATTAACAAATAAGATTAATAATAAAAAATAAGATTAATAATAAAAAATGTAACTTAAATAGGTAGTTTTAATGTGTTTGTAAATATTATTACATTATAAATATTTTTACCATTATCGCTGAACTGAACACAGTCCTGCAGTTCCTCCATCAACGTATAGCCTTCAGTGCAAGTGCAGAAGCCTGAAAAAAAAAATATATAAAACCATATTTGAATTCTTTCATTGAATAATAAAACAAAGTAATAATTATTATAATGTATTTAACAAATAATTTTGTACCATTGACGCAGTCCACTTTCGATTTCCACGTCGAATTGGAGTCTTTCAGAGTTTTGGTAATGCAATGATGATGGGTCTCACAATGACCACCAAGTTCTGAAACGTGGAATTTTCCAACATTATTATACTTCGATCTGAAGTAGACAAGATTTGATATCTATTTATTTATCTCGCATTTATCTACTGATTTTATCTACTTATTAATTTTATCTACTTATTAATTTTATCTACTTATTAACCTAATTAATTTATTTTAATGGAAAATCAGCATATGATAATATTATTTCAAATCTAAATCTAACGATCAAGTGAGCATATTTAGCAGTAAATGCAAGCAAGGAAGTGTTCGCACTTGCCTACATCGACGAAGCATCGAGGACCACGTCTATGGGAACCGGCGATGCAGTCGCACGTTTTGTTCGCACCACATTGGCTATGGTTTAAGAACAGTTGACACTGCGATTGCTGCTCGCACTTCTCGCCGATCCAGGAAGCGGCTTTCAAACACCGCTGATCGCCCTTGGCCAGCACGTAGTCCACTTTGCAATCGCATCTGTTGTGCATGCACTTCGAATTCTCCACAATGCATTCGTCATCACTGTCGCAGTGCTCGCCCAACTCTGAAAAACAGATTTAGATAACTCCAAACTTTATAAATTCAAGATATTTCTTATAAACCTCATGAATATTCAATGAATTGTCTTTTGCCTTGGAAATGGTTTTTTCCTCATTTGTTTTGTCTTTTTTATTTTTTTCTTTTAAGAAATTGACATAAATATAATTATACTTTATTGTTTTTATGTAATTTAAGGCATTGTTTTGTTTAATGATACATAAGTATTAAATTAATATTATATATTTGTATAAAATATCAAATCAAATTCATCATATCAAATCAATTAATTAAATTTTACAAAAACAAAATGAAAAAGCAAAAAAAGAGCTATTTTAGATTTTAAAAATAATAAAATACTCGCAAAATATGAAATTTATTATTAATTTTTATTGATTGTGCCATGGTACTTACTGGCGCTCGGCAGGCAGCCGGTCTTGTCAGGATTCGCATGATGACGCAAACCGCAGGCGCAGAAACCAAGTTCGCAAAAAGTATTCTTGATGTAACAATTGCGATTCGAGCGACAAGGTTTTCCCAAGCCTAAATACGAGCAGAAAACAATAATAAATTGTAGTTTTACTTAATTACAGTAATTGAGTAGTTGACAGCTACATTCAATCAATTTCTTCTTCTGCGCTTGATCATCGTCATTTGATATCATGAAAAGATATGAAAGGCCATAAATACAGGCAATTTACGACGCGGTGGAAGTAGCGCTAACGGTAGAAGACAAGTCAGAGTTACTTTATTATATTACGAGTAATCATTCATAATTTCGCCTCCGCGCACTGAATATGGCATTGAATAGAGACCGCCCATTGTATCATCTCTTGTTATTAGAGGCACTGATCTCGGATTGTTTATTTTTCCCATAAATATATGCCTAATAAAGGGGCCGCTTTTGATGGCTTGGGATTTTTCCCAGGAAAAGTAATAATACTCACCAACGGACTCGTAACACCTCCCATCCGTGAAGTGGGAATCGTGGGCGCATTGACAAGTGCCCTCTCGACACTCCGATTGCGGTGTAAACGTAAACTCACACTGGATGTCCTCCTCGCAGGGATCGCCGATGTGAGTAGCCACTGTTGAAATAATATTCTTTAGGCGTGTTATTCTGTGTCTTCAAGTTTACGTATTTCGTTATATCGATACTTATTTATATATGAGAAAAACAGTTTTGTTGAAATTTTGATCAGATTGAAAATTATTTTGTTGAGAACCAAATATTTAGGACAGGATGTAAATCAGTTGCAGAATATAAAAAATTTTTGCACCACAATTATGTTTAAGCGACCTGCATAATTTGATGGCCCAACAAAATTGTTTAATATCTGTGGCTGATCAAATTTTTGGATACTTCAGCAAAATCACTATTTTTATATATTAAAGATGTTTTATAGAAACTTTTTTTTAAAATTTTAAGTATTTTACTAAATAAGAGAGTAAATAAATTTTCTTCTTTGCATTTTGCAAATGCGCGATATTCAAAGATAATATCAATGTTGTAGGTAATCGAATGAAATTTTTAGTGCAATTTAGCAGGTTGTATATAAATGATGTATCTCCTCTCCCCGAGCGGCTCACGTTTAAAAAATTAAATATTCTTCAAATATGGAATAGACAAAATGTCGACCTCATTCTTCGAACTTTATTTTTAAAAGTCATGTTTATTCAATCGCGTAGGATCGTGTCGAGAGGGTTTCTTATCTAGGGACGGATTTACGCCGTCCTGACTCATTCATAGAAATTATTCGTGATCTCTGTCGGCTCAACGAGCACGACGAACGACACGCTCCAGGTGAGGCGGGATCGTGAGAAAGGAACGGATAGGAATAGGGATGAACGTGTATCTCCGCGGGATCTCGTTTCTGAGGTCGATGACATCGTTCCTGACTGTTCGAATAATTAGACCGAGATTCAGAGAGTCTCGACTGCTCGAGTTTTTTCTAAAATTCTACTTTGTTTCAAACTTTGAGACGCCCGTTAAATTTAATAATATAATCAACGTCGTGTGATACGACGCTCGAATAATGCAAAACGTGAAGTACCTCTCAGACACTTGTAATTATTGTTACTTCTGAACTCGATGTGATCATCTTTGCACGAGCAGGTCTGCTGGTTCCGGCAATACGCGTTCGGAATACAGTCGACATCGTATTTACACAGGGAGAAGGTTTCTGAAAAAAAATATTTACCTCATTTATGACGCGATATGTTATTTATAGAATCGAAATACAAGTTTGAACATATTACTCCCAAAATTCATTCTCTTAGCAATTTTTATATCATTACGATTTAAACAAAAAAAAAAAGAATTTAAAATTGAAGAATGTAAAATTTGTACGCCTAATTGAGAAATAAAATCTAATTAAAAATAAAGAAGTAGGAGAGACGGCCAGCGGATGTGGCGATCGGCTTTGTACGTCCGCTGGCCAATTTACCGTGACATAACGAGTGCGAGCTAACAATCGATTAGATACGATCCGTGAAGAATGAACAATCAAGAGACCCTCATATTTCACGGTAGTTGCGCGTTTCTCGGTTACCCTTGTTCAATCAATTTCGTATGTAAAAGCCGCAATCGCGGCGAAGACGCGCCTGGGAATCGTCCCGCTTCGGAAACTCTGTTTGCTTACTATTGCTGCTGAGATTGCTGTTACTGCGATCGTTGTTGCATCGCAGGGACGGGTCCTCGTTGCCGTTGACGTAGGTGATCGTCGCGCAGACGGTAACGGGTACGAGGACGAGGAGCCCCGTGAAGCCGCATACCGTCCACGTCTTCGTCATCCTCGCGACGACGGCGGACGAACGCCACGTACGAAACGTTTCATCACCGTCGCCAGTCGACTTATTGTCATTTTCGGATCCCGCGAGGGCCTCGACGAGATCCGACCGTTCCGATCGCTCGAAGGCCGCCACGTCACGATTCGACAGCCGGGCTCTCCGTTTAGCCTACGACGCTCCCATTGTTTTCTCGCTCTCGTCCGATTTCCGTTGCGCAATCGTAGGCAGGGATACGTGAGTACACCCTCGGATGGACATCATCGAGGCGTATCCCGCGTGATCATCGTCGGATTCCACGACATTGTTCGCCCGTGCCTATCGCTTCCTCCCCGTCCAGCCAAGGCGAGGCATCGAAGGGAACCACTGCAATTTGTTCGGTCATCAAAGAATCGATCTGAGACCTCGTTCGAAATCACGAGATCTCGTTAGGCAGTCCGGCTACAAAGGTCACGAGACTCCAATTTGAATTAGAATAGAGTTTTGTGACGGATCAATTTTCGTCCTTCGCGATTAAAGATCTGAATAAAATCTGAATAAAATCATCATTAATTAATTAAAGAATCGATGTCTTTTTTCCAAAATCAACTTTGACCGATCGAAAACGTTTCTCTCATCGTTAGATCTTTTATTCGCCGCAATTTAAGTAAAGAGATGCTTATGATAGATCTTTCATCTTTATCTCGAATTTCAATCAAAGTTATGATATGTAATTAGTAATTATCATAGTTAATTTTAGACGGCTAACTTTAGACGTTCCAGTTCACAAACGATCGCGTGCGAGCGAGCTCGTCGCTATAGCATCATCTTGTTTCGTCGATTTCGATAGACGGAAGTCATAGTCGAAGAAGTATTTCCCACGTACCCCGTAACAAATCGACTTTGATTTAAACGTGCAAATATCGCCCATTCATCGACGGTAATAATCAAGGAATCGTTTTATACCCGCTGAGTTGTCACTGACGAGCGGCAGGTGCTGAAATCATCCTAACGCCTCTTGGTCCCGTTCGATTTGAATTAGAATCGCACATCGAAGCGTAGCAAACACGCGCGAAATATGTCTCTTCTAGTAAAACAAATTTCACAGGAAATTCTTTTCTTAAGAAACGACGCGTTTTGTTTCCGCGCGTAGGCAGAAAATTGTTTATATTAATTTTTTATATTTTCTATATTAATTTTTTCTATATCTTTCTACATCGAAGTCGTTGTCTACATCCGAAGCTTCCGTATTTACATTTCCTCTGAGATACCGAGCGATTTGAACCGCTTCTCTCAGTGCCTCGGGTTTGTCGACACGAAACCGTGGGCGATATTCCTCGCAATGGATTTCAATGACGGTCCCGTGAACGCTCGAAGGTCGATCGTGGTGAACAAACGAGTTTAGCGCCCTACGTTTCTATAGTTTCGGTTTGCGTTGCGCAACGCGGTGCCACACATACAACAGTAGAAGCCATTGTTACGTGTCAACAGTGCTGTACCGTTGTGAGTGAAATTTATTCGAACATAGCACGTATTCATTCAATGTTTGCTCGACTTGTAACTTCATTGGACGACTAAAATGATTGTACCCTTGAAGAAACAAACGCAAAAGAAAGGGATTATTTAAGCGATAACCGAATAAAATCGGACGATTTTATAATCGGACTTTGATCGTAATCCGATGCATTTAAGCAGATTTGGTAATCGTGATAATGTCAACGTGATGTTAATGAATGTAATTATCGCGATTACGGCGAGTTGATTTACGTTGATTTAATAATGTCCGGCATTATTTGCACAGTGCAAGTAGTTTATGCAACTCCGAGCTTTGTTGAAGACCCGGCGTGTTGTAATCTCCAAAACACATTGTTAAATCCGTATAACAGGCAAGCGTAGGAAACGGGCCCCTTTGTTCTTTAATTATGAGCGATTCTACTCGACATTCACCTAGCTGTGAGAACCAGGAGCGTAGATCCGGTCTCCACGATTCTCCGATCTTCGCGATTCCTCACGAAGGAGAAGAAAAGATTACTGGGTCATAAAAATACCGTCCTTAAAACAGCCCACGAACATCGTGTTTGCGATTTCTCTTAAATCCGTTAAAACGCGACAGATTCAATATAAAACGAGCTTATCTTCTTCGACAATTATCCGAGAGAAAAAACAATTAATCGCAATAACTAACTGTTATTATTTAAATAATGAGAATTTTATTTTTTTATTATTCCGCGGTGCATTAAGATTATGGTTAATACTTTAATTTTCATAATTTTCAAAATATTGAGCAACACTTATTTGTACATTCGCACTGTTTGTATCATTAATGTACACCAATGAATTAAGATAAGATGAATTTTTTGAAGAAAATATTTTTTGATAATTTTCTTCGCATTTTCTTATTTGCATTTGTTTTTTCTTATTGAAACAATATTCAAACAATATATCTTGATTCTTTCTCTAAATATTATTACAATTCAATATTCAATTCAATTTTTATACTCACGATGTAATTTTATATCTTTTAAATACATCGTTATTACATTAACTACTTTCTAAAGATATTCTTTTCGATATTTTTATTATTATATTTCTTCTAATTATTATTGCAAATATTGCATCTGTGTTTACTTGTCAATACATAATAATTGCATGATATCTCTCAATTTTTCCCTTTCAATTTGCTACACAACTCAATAATCCAATAGTCCAATTTTTACACTCACATGATTATGATTTTTCAAATATTTCTATTAATTGATCATTATCTTAAGGATGTCCTCTTCTTTCCTTTACGATATTGCACCTGCTGCTTTTAGTAATATGTAATGTTCGTACAGTATATCTCTCTCGATATTTTCCCTCGCGGGTTTTTCCGGTGTCACACACGATTCTTACGACTCACGTCGACGGAACGGATGCTCACGCCGGCTACGCGCGCCGGCAACTGTATTCGAAACGAAGCAAAGAACGATTGACAGTCCAACGTTCCGTAGCTCCCTCACTGGAGGCCTCCTCGGCTGACTCTTCAGCTAATTCCTCGACAGATTTCTCAGCTCTCCCGCTTTTTCGGATGACTGCGGATTTTAACACCTTTGTGCACCTTGGCCCCTCTTCTTCACTTTGGAGAATGAAAAAAAGATACAACTCAGAATTATAAACTGTTTATAAGTGCAGGACCTCATAAGTAGGTAGGTTATTTTATCGTGAAATGACACATTAAATTTAATTAACGTGTTTTGGGCGTAACTAACAGTTTAAGTGCTGATTGGAGGTAAAGAAGTGGAGTCTAAAAATTGAAACTGTATAAAAATTCGATTTAAAAGTTCTTAAATAGCTCTTAATTTTGCCGTAAAGATAAATTCAATATTCTTATTTTTAAATAAGGAGAGGGAGGGATGAGTGAACGTTTCCTTATTTAAGAAAATCAAGTTTCAATCTATAGTGACAAGCTCAAAATTTTTAATTTGCAGGATTCGAAAGCTCATAAATGGCTTGTAATTCTGAGTTGCCTTTTTGTCATTCCACAAGGTGGAGAGGGAGGGAAGGAGGTGCACAAAGATGGATTTAACACAGTTTGGAATTTTAAATATTCAAATTTCTTCGTGCGATCGTCCAAAGTTTCTCTATCGTGTTGCTTTATCTAATCGCATCTAATAACTTATTTAAAATTTCTTGTGAAATAACCCTTTTACTCCTTGTCTCAATGGTTGAACGTAGATCAGCGGGTGGTAATGACGTCAGAATTGGACCTTCTATTCTATTCATGAATGATATTGTATAACAAAAGTTGCAATACATATGCAGATTTGCAACATTTTGCGTAAAATTCTTTTCTTCTATTTCTTCTTTTCTTTTCTTTTCTTTTCTATTTCTTCTTTTCTTTTCTTTTCTATTTCTTCTTTTCTTTTCTTTTTCTTTATCTAAATACGTCATTCTATTATTGAACTTTTTTACAAAATATTCATGATAAAGATAATAATAGCAAGTTATTGAAATTCTTCATCAGTCCGCATTTTCTATTCTAAATATGAGAATTTTCTATTCTAAATATAAGTGAATAACTTTAAATAGTTGTTTAAAAAAATGATAAAAGTGTAATGCCTCCTCCTCCTCCTCCTCTTCCTCCTCCTCCTCCTCCTCCTCCTCCTCCTCCTCCTCCTCCTCCTCCTCCTCTCTCTCTCTCTCTCTCTCTCTCTCTCTCTCTCTCTCTCTCTCTCTGGCTTTTTGTATTTTATATATTTTATATATATTTAATAATATATGTATATATAACACATATATTATATGATAAATTTGTATGATATGTATTATACATTTTATATCATACAAATATAAAAATATAAAATAATTAATATAATTATATAATTGTATTAGTAATTATCAATTAGTAATCATTATTATATTACGTGTTTATATTACGAATTTAAATACAAAACATGCTTAATGACGTTTATCTAAATAACATTCATAAAAATGTAAGAAACAAACAAAATCGCTTCGTTTTAAGAAATATATTTAAGAAAACGCATGCTATCACTGTAGTATAACATATAAAATATATTTTATATATATATATATATGTAGTTTTATATTAAAATATTTACTAACATAAAGAAAGCTCAGTGAGTTTTATCAAAGTTTTAATTAAAATAATGCGATAATAATTTCAATATCGACTGGATAAGTGCAAAAGAATACTAAAGTTTATATTAATTCGCTTGATTCTGAAAAAGTATCAGAATTTCAAAGCTATTTATATTATTTGTATACATGAATATAAAATTTATACAATGTGTATATACAAACATTCTGTGAAAATTTGACATTTTGCTTTTTAAAACCATATATATAAATTTATACATCGAAGTAATAAATATATATTGAAAAGAAAGAAATGCTATTATTGTTAACTTCATTTTTCTACTATTTTTCATTAAACAATTGCATAATAATAATAAAAAGTTATTTAAACATTGTGCATATACTGTGATCTGATCCGAAAGGAAAAATATGAGAAAATATAAAGATTTCAAACAACTTAAGTTTTCTTTCGCGCTCGTGAATTCCATCCAGTTTGCAGTTCGCTCTAAGGAGCAGTAGCGCTACAGAATACATCAGCATCCGCATATTAATAACCTCGTTAATTAAATGCACGCGAGTGGAAGGCTTTGAACATATCGGTGCACCTAGTTCAAGCCGTTGCCTTCGCCGCGAGTATTTTGCTGCGCAATTACAATGGCGTTGATATTGTTTCATTTCCGCGCTGTTTTTTTTTCCATGCGTCCGGTTTTACGCAACGTACAATGTATTACAGCCTTGGTGATTAACGACGAAAATAAAAGTGATGAATACTGTCGACTTTTTACGCTGTGCCCTGAAGAAATATCACAATTATCCATAATTTTGAATGTACCGTTTAAATATATTACCGTACTGTATTTTGAATATATCACGGATTGACTGCAGGTACGATTACTTAGATCTGTATACGCAATTAAGTTGTAATCTCTTATCAGGACTTAAACATCTCATTTCTCTCTCTCACACACTCACTCACTCACTCATTCATTACCATCATGACATTCTCACGAATACACGTGCACGCACACATTTGTACAAGCAACTCATTTGAAATTGCATGTATCTCGAGGCACCGTTTGCTCAAGACAAGTACGCATTAACGAAATATTTTTAATACTTGTGAGAAATTTGCGAGACTTTCCTTAAGAGCCTTACGATAATATGAATAATTACAACCCACAAGTAAATAATTCGAGAATGACTTTCCTTCTCGAGTCACGGCGCTCTTATTTGCGTTTCTTCCTCCTCGAGATTAGGCTTTTCTTGTGAACGCACGGCATTACGATTATCAAACTCCATTAACTTTCAACGACATCCAGTTGCTATTTTGTGCTTCACGAAAGTACAAGCAGCGCTATCGCAGAAGCGATTATCGACAGGGACGCTACCAGGAATGAACCTGCGGAACAGAAGTTGCGTCAAGCGAGAATTTTCCGAGAATAAAACCCAAATCGCGTCCTCTTTCAGAAGAAAACAAGTGCCAATAAATCCCGGTCTTACATAAGATGCGTGTCACGTATGTCGCTTTACACTTACCGCCGCTCACGCATTTGTTGTCTTGCAAGACGTAATCGCTGGCGCACGTGCATCTGTTGAGATCGCACACCACAGACTTGTTCGACGAATCGTTCTCGTAGTCTTCGGCCTGGTAACACTCGTAATTGTTCGCGCATGCCTCGTTGATCGCTGCAAAAACGATGCAAACCAGTTAGTTTCGTCGATTTATACGACGACGATCTTCCTTCCTTCCTTCTTTCGGCGACAGTTTAACTCGGAAAAATCCGATGGTGGTGGTTCTAAGCGAGGATTATTAATTGCAGGACACGAGGGTACCTTTATTGGGGAAGCACTTCATTAGCTCGTGCTCGTAATGAAAATCCGGCTCGCATTGGCATATCTTGTCAAGGCAGGTCGAGTGCTCAAACGTCGTTGTGCACTGTACCGTCTCTATGCATTCATCCTTCATCTTTCTGGCGACCGGCAAACATTTTGTGCCTTCCGTATTCAGCACTGTTTCGGCCGCGCATTCACACGTCTGGTTCTCCGTGCAGATAATGCCGTCGATATCCCTCGAGCACTCCTCGTTCTTCTTGCACGATTCACCATACCCTACAAAAGTAATTAAAGTCAAAATATACACACAAAAATCCCTATTGTTCTGACAACTATAAAAAAGAATTATTAAAATATCTAAAAATTTTGCTAAATTTGAGAATAATTTTGTTGGGTACTAAATTACGAAAATTATAGTATCTTAGATATTTTTCCAAAATACCTGCTATTTTGAATATTTGATTAAAATAAGACTCTTAAATTTTATTATATATGAAATAACATCACATGGTGATCGATACATGAATCGAATGTACGTAAGAAATTATATCGAATTATAAGAAAAACATTAATTTTTAACCTGTCTCTACGTTTCATTCAAAATAAAGACTATTATGTAATACTTACCGATTATTTTCCAACACTTATTGTTTATGTAATGATAATCAGGCGCGCAAACGCATTTACCATTTTCACAAACTGTATTCTGCAGGAACGTTAAACACTGATTTATATCTTCGCAAGAAGCGTTTATCGAATTGACTTCTATTTAAAAAAAAAAAATATCGTACATAATTATAATATTAATATTTAGAAACGAATTATATATAAATAAATTATCTCATATGAACATGTAATAGATTATTAGGAATATCAATTTATGTTTAAATTCGAAAAGTATTTTTGTATTTCTTACTACGACACTCACTTTCGACGCAACGTTGTTTGTTGCTCGCTGGCACGTAGCTCTTTGAGCAAACGCATTGATTAATAGTATAGTTGCATATTGCACCCTGGAAATTGCACTCTTGATCGTGTTTGCACGTTCGATAAACCAGCGGACCTAAAAAGGGATTAATTTACACATACAATCGTATGGCGTTTCTTTGGAAAATCCGATAATTAGGAGATAAGAATTTTATAATAGAGTCGTGTTTCCAGTTGTATCACCTGGAATTCTATTCTGGTGTGTAAATGTATCGAGGCCTGAGCAAGGTCTCCGGACGCCAATGTCTTCGGTTGGACACATGCAATATCCGTCTTTACAAAAAGCATCCCTCGGAAGCTCCGACATGCTACTACAATCTGACGTGTTTGCGCATGGGATAGGTATATCTGCAATTGAATCGGTCGTTTCAGAAAGCGCGAAATATCACGAACGAGAAGGCTTTCTAAAGCCGAGATATGAAGGGTGCATTTTATTTTTCCAGAAAAATAATCTCGCAAAATAAATTTGTAATCCAGACACACGTGAAATGCTTCTCTTCAGCCACCGCCTGTTTTTAAATTTTTCCTATCTTTCCATTCTATTAAAGATACATAAATTTTGCCTAGTTTTTCATTTGGAAAATAAACGTGTTCTTAATCCACGACCGATTCAATCAAATGTGTATCTAAAATGCTTAATTCAATGCATGAAGTATGCGATTAATTTGCAGATTTACAGAAAATAGAAGACT